CACTAGGCACAGGAAAGTGGCCGTCTAGGGCAGGAGAGCTGCCAGCCTGGCCACCCAGGACCAGGTGTGCATGAAAATCAAGGGGGTCCACTGAGACCCCCGACACTGAGCCCTGAGCTTACAATGGCCGTCCTGGGTCAGACCAAAGGTCCATCTAGCCCAGTAGCCTGTCTGCCGACAGCGGCCAACCCTAGGGACCCTGGAGGGGATGGACCGAAGACAGTGACCAAGCCATTTGTCTCGTGCCATCCCTCTCCAGCCTTCCACAAACTTTGGGCAGGGACACCACTCCTACCCTCTGGCTAATAGGACTCCATGGACCCAACCTCCATGACTTGATCTCACTTCCCTTTAAACTCTGTTCTAGTTGTAGCCTTCACAGCCTCCTGCAGCAAGGAGTTCCACAGGTTAACTATTTGCTTTGTCAAGAAGAACAACTTTCTCTTACTAGTTTCAAGCCTGCTACCCATTCCTTTCCTTTGGTGTCCTCTAGTCCTTCTTTATGGGAACTCAGGAAGAACTTTTCTGAATGCACCCTCTCCACCCAACCCCTGCTTTTAGAGACCTCTATCCTGTCCCCCCTCCGTCTCCTCTTTTCTAAGCTGAACAGTCCCAGTCTCTGTAGCCTTTCTTCATCTGGGACCTGTTCCCAACCCCTGATCATGTTAGTTGCCCTCCCCTCTCCCAGCCTTTCTCTTCCCCTCTCCCACCTCCTTTTCCCAGTCTCCCCCAGTTTTTTTTCAATAAAGACAGAGTCAATGTTGGAAGAAACGTTATCTTTATTTTGTACATCAATAAGAAGGGGGGCTAGGGAAGGGTAAGTGGAAGGAGGTGAGGGAGGAATGGGGTACGAGCCCCCGATGGGGAGGACTGGGCTGGCTCTGCGGGCTTCTGGGGGTGGAAGCTCTCCTGCAGCCCCCCAATTACTCCCTCTCCCCAGATGGCAGCCTGCGGCAAGTGCAGCTGGGCTGATGGCCGAGTGGTGTGATGTGCCCAGTGTGGGCACTCAGGGCACTCCAAGCCAGAACTTCTTTGCAAGCGGGGCACCCCTTAGAACTGTGTGTCCGGGGTGGGGGTCGGGACCCTTTAAGCGCAGCCCTCGGCTAGCCTGAGACAGCATCTCCATGCTCTAAGTCCTCCTTTTATGCCCTGCCGGCACTGCTTCCGGCCATCCTTAAGCCCTGTTCAGAGTCCACTCAATGTGGACTTGCTAGTTCGAACTAGCAAAACGCTAGTTCGAACTAGTTTTTAGTTCTAGATGCACTAATTCGAATTAGCTTAGTTCGAATTAACTAATTCGAACTAAGTTAGTTCGAACTAGCGCTGTAGTGTAGACATAGCCTGATAGAACTGATAACCTTCCCCAGTCCCATGAGCAGGGCTTGCCAGCTGCGTGGTTTGGCACGCTGAGCATGCACAGACCATGCTGCGGATGCACTGATTGCGTTGCGGCGCCGGATGCACTAATTCGAATTAGCTTAGTTCGAATTAACTAATTCGAACTAAGTTAGTTCGAACTAGCGCTGTAGTGTAGACATAGCCTGATAGAACTGATAACCTTCCCCAGTCCCATGAGCAGGGCTTGCCAGCTGCGTGGTTTGGCACGCTGAGCATGCACAGACCATGCTGCGGATGCACTGATTGCGTTGCGGCGCCGTGCCGGCTTCAAATCTACTCGCCCCGAGTGAGTAGATTGATTCATTTGCTGAGCCCTGCCCATGAGAGTAACCCTAATAAATGAGCATACCTCATAGTACTAGGCAAATCTGGTAACACCCTGCTGTAAGCTGTCACATCACGTGTTAGGGCTGGGTTTTGCAGGGGGCTCTCACTGATTGGCAGTGGGAAGTGGCAGCATCTCCTGTGGAAATCACGAGGGAAATCTCTAGAAGACTGATCATTGAGAATAGTGATAGAAATGTAGCCGTGTTAGTCTGGGGTAGTTGAAGCAAAATGCAGGACAATATAGCACTTTAAAGACTAACAAGATGGTTTATTAGATGATGAGCTTTCGTGGGCCAGACCCACTTCCTCAGATCAAATAGTGGAAGAAAGTAGTCACAACCATATATACCAAAGGATACAATTTAAAAAAATGAACAAATATGAAAAGGACAAATCACATTGCAGAACAGAAGGAGGAGGCGGGGGGGTGGGAAGGGGGAGGAAGGAAGGTAAGTGTCTGTGAATTGCTGATATTAAAGGTAGGGAGAGTGGGATGTTTGTGAGTTAATGGTATTACAGGTGATAATTGGGGAAACTGTCTTGATAATGGGTGAGAAAGTTCAAAGACTTGTTAAGTCCCTGGTGGTAAGTGTCGAATTTTAACATGAATGACAGTTCAGAGGATTCCCTTTCAAGTGCAGATGTAAAAGGTCTTTGTAGCAGAATGCAGGTGGCTAAGTCATTTAGAGAGTGTCCTTTCTGGTTAAAGTGGCAAGAAACTGTTTTCTCTTTGTGATCTTGTCTGATATCTGTTTTGTGGGCATTAATCCTTTGGCGAAGTGTCTGAGATGTTTGTCCAATGTACATAGCAGACGGACACTTTCGGCACATGATAGCATAGATTATATTTCTGGATGCGCAGGAATATGTGTTCTTGATCTTATAACTCACTTGGTTAGGTCCAATAATGGTATCAGCAGAATGAATATGTGGACAAAGCTGGCAACGGGGTTTGTTGCAAGGGAAGGTACCAGGGTTGGTATTAGTGTGGTATGTCCTGTGGTGGTTGGTAAGAATCATCTTGAGGTTAGGTGGTTGTCTATAGGAGACTATGGGTCTGTCTCCCAGAGCCTCTTTGAGTATGGTATCCTGTTCCAATATAGGCTGTAGTTTATTGATAATGTATTGGACAGGTTTAAGTTGGGGGTTGTAGGTGATGATCATTGAGACTGAGGGAAGCAAGTGCCTGACTGGAATCAAACTCCCTGTTGCTTTTTGTGCCTGACTGGCCGTTTACCTGCGGAACTGCTCGCCACAGGATAGTCCCCCAAAGCGACATCCGACTTAGTGCATTGAAAACAGTAAGGCCAGGCTGCTTACCTAGATCACACAAACCCCCATTTGGAATTGCCAGAGTGAAATCAAGGGAGGGGAGTGTGGGAAGCGGGAGAAACCGGGTGAGACGGGCCCTGATGGTACGGGCCTATGCTCAGATTCGGGGCTGGTTGCTGATTAGGACATGCTCAGGCATAACCAGGGCTGTGATGGAAATCAGTAAAGCGCTCCCCTTCACCCTTAGAAATGGCCTTAGCTAATGGGCGGCCAGGACCAATCCCCCGATGGATGCCTGGCTCAGCGGGGGGCTGGGAGGAAAACTTCCAAACTTGGGCAAGTTGCAAACAAAGCTGAGGTGAGTTCCGGCCCGCTTGGATCCTAGCCGGGAGGATGAAGCGACAGAGAGTCTGGCTGTGAAATTTACTGTAAATGTTTTGAAATCCTACCGGGACCAACGCCAGTCGCAGGCCTGCAAGAGGGAATGTGGCTCCACTTCAAAAACGCCACCAGTGGAGGGGGAGGGGGAGCGGCTGGCCCCATTGACGCCAGGGGCGTCATGTCCCTTTGACACCATCAGGGATCTGGCCCCACTGACTCCAGCAGCGTAATGACCCATTGACACTACCCGGGGAGCCAGCCAATGGTACGTCGGCATTTCTAGCCCCGCTGCGATAACCTTATTGACGTGCTGTGGACGGTTTCCCTCTCCTCACCTGTCCTTTCCTGGCACACGGGGGATTGGCTGTGTCCCGGCGGGGGCAGGAGCAGCGGGGCTATAAACGCAGCCCTGCGTCCAGGCAGAACTCAGCAGCCAGACCAACCCTTCGCAGACAGAGCAGTGAGCCGGGCAGCGGAGACAGGACGAAACCAGGCAGAAAAACACCACGATGAGGCTTCAGATCACCTGCTTGATTCTCACCCTCATCCTCTTCTCCGCCCAGAATGCCTGCGGCTTCCAGGGCCAGGTAAACACTTTTTGGCCTTTTTTTTGTATGATGGCTGTCCCAGGTGCTGCCCAGGCTGGGATCAGTGCCCTCTTGTGCCTGGCCCTGCCCAACTGGGATCAGGGCCCCGTTGTGCCAGGCACTACCCAGACCCAACCAGAGACAGGTCCTGCCCCAGCTGGGATCAAGGCCCCCTTGTGCCAGACAGGATTATCAGTTCCTTTTTCCAGGGATGGGGAAACTGAGGCACGGAGCCACAGAGTAACTGGTTCTGGGTCACATGGGCACAGTGCTACAGAGCCAGGAACAGAACCCGGGAGTCTGACCTGGGGATGTAAAATCCCATTTAATTCAGTAATTGGTTAAACGTTAAGTTTAACCAATTAAATGGAGGTCTGGGCTGGAATCCGCCCACCCCCTCCTGCACCAGCTGAAGGCTGCTTTGGCCAGGCTGCAGCATCCCTGCCCCCAGGGGGGTCCGTGTCTGATCCCAGCACTGGCTTGGTTTGGTTTAGTATTAAGCTGATACAACATATAATGACACACATACGCACAGACAACCCCTCCCCCTCCCCCGTCCTCGTTATTCCAGGCCCCGGCCCTGCGCCGATGAAAGCCAGCAGGACGTGTGTAGGGTCGACACATGTGGAGTTGTAGTGGTGTTGTGGGGGGCGGGCAATGACCCTTTCTTTTGCCCCACAAAACATCCAGCTTGGTTCCTAACCCGAATCTCCATTTCCTCGCGGTGAACATCTGCATTGTGGAATAAACTCCCTGCAGAGGCCCAGGAGCCCGACTGGGACACGAAATGGGGCTCGGAGTGATTCTCCACCGTCTTTGCAAGGACACCTTTTTAAAGCTGTTTTGCTATTTTCCCAACTTTCCCAGGAGGGTTGGGGTCAGACTCCGGCCTTACACTGTGTGCGTCAGAATGGAGCATACCTGTCCTGAGGGGCAGAAATAGGGGGAGCAAGCTAGAGGAAGAACTGGAGCCAGAAACCCAGAGCCCTGATTCCCAGGCCCTTCCCCTCCCCCCACTCCCTGCCAGAGGCAGGGCAAAACCGAGGTCCCCTGGCTCCCAGCTCCCCTGGCTCCAGCCCTCTGCACCTAGCACTTAGCTAAGGGCTGTTGTCTCTGTCTCTGCAGACAGCCGAGCCTGCTGCTGTAACACAACACGTGGAACCCAGGGAAGAAACCCAGGGCCTGCAGGTAAAAACTGGATGGGGGCTCTCCCCTAGCAGGCAGGACGGGCTCCAATACCCCAGCGTGGCAGTAGGGGGCGCTGTGCTGCAGGGGGCAGTGGGGGCCAGTAGGGGGCGCTGTGCTGCAGGGGGCAGTGGGGGCCAGTAGGGGGCGCTGTGCTGCAGGGGGCAGTGGGGGCCAGTAGGGGGCGCTGTGCTGCAGGGGGCAGTGGGGGCCAGTAGGGGGCGCTGTGCTGCAGGGGGCAGTGGGGGCCAGTAGGGGGCGCTGTGCTGCAGGGGGCAGTGGGGGCCAGTAGGGGGCGCTGTGCTGCAGGGGGCAGTGGGGGCCAGTAGGGGGCGCTGTGCTGCAGGGGGCAGTGGGGGCCAGTAGGGGGCGCTGTGCTGCATGGGGCTGTGTCTCTCATACCCCAGCGTGGCACTAGGGGGCGCTGTGCTGCAGGGGCAGGGTGAGGCTCTCCCCTGTCTCCCATACCCCAGCATAGCACTAGGGGGCACTGTGCTACAGGGGCAGGGCGAGGCTCTCCCCTGTCTCCCATACCCCAGCATAGCACTAGGGGGTGCTGTGCTGCAGGGGCAGGGTGAGGCTCTCCCTCGTGGCAGTGGGGCACTGTGCTGCAGGGGCAGGGTGAGGCTCTCCCATCTCTCATACCCCAGCGTGGCACTAGGGGGCGCTGTGCTGCACAGGCAGGGTGAGGCTCTCCCCTGTC